AGATATTCATGTTTCAAGGATTTTTTATTTTATTTCAAAGATGTTAAAGCCTATTTTACTTTGTCACGTCTTAGAAGGTGTGACCAACCTTTAGGCATTATAATCTAATTTGTCTAATGCACTCACACGACGCCCCTCTTACTAGGGGTTACTTTACAAGGGTTAACTCTCATATAAACTGATTTAAACCTTATTGTGTTGTGTTAAGGTTGATTTTGCAATATCCTAATAAATCAAGATTGTGTTTTGTAAATGTCTAGCAGTATTCAAGTTATGACTAACCCTTTGATGGTATGAATTTCATTTGGTTAATTAAAATTGGTTTTGAGTCTTAAAATGGGTAAAAAAATGCATTGTTGCTTACGATCTAATAATTAATTAATTGGCGGTAAAAAATTCAATATGAAATTACTTCAATGTTGCTACTAAAAACTATATATATTTTGAGAAGTAAATTTAAAAACTCTCTTATTTACTGCAGAGTATCTAATATAAATTATTTGAGAAATAATCTTTTACAGTCGTATTCAGTCATTTAATTGTTGATTAAAGTATTGCTTAGTGTAGACTGCATATACATAAACAACACTAAGGTGAAAGTACCGTAACAATTCTGAGAGCAGTACAATCTTTCAAAATTCATTTTAAAATTTTTGGTCCTTCGAGCCGACCTTTTCATGAATTCTAGCCAAGCGTTATGTCACAACAAAACAAACGTCAATACGGATTTCACAATCAGCGAAGTGCTTTATTTTAATTACAACAGCTATTTAACAATACCCTCTCCCCATCACAAATGTTCAGAGTAATGTAAACGCATTGTGCTTCATGACATTGCGTTTCAGTTAGCGCCAAGTGAAATTTAATAAGACCTGTTTTGTTATATAAACACGGCGTATGGTGTAGTTAGGGGGTTATTAGTATTGAATTTTAAAAGATGAACTTTGCATGACTATCTATATTATTATAATAAAGCGTAAACACACACTTCTTTGTTGCCTAAGATGTCAGCAAAAACAAAAACCCTAATGTGGGAAAGACCAAAAGTTGCTGCCAACATCAAGGAAGCAAGGTTGCCATGGTATGAAATCGTCGTGTCATTTTGACATTTGAAATTGATAATTTGACTAATGTAAACAATAAAATAATATTTTCATAATTTGTTTCTTCAAAGTGTCGAAGTATCTCTTCTTCATGTTGTAAAAACAATTTTTTATAAGTTAATAGAAATGCATTTTTAACTCGTTCAGTGTAATCAACTCCCCTAGGGAGTACTGGCCTACGAAAAATCATAGCAGCATAAAACATGGTCACTTTATCGTGGGGAATTTTAAGAAAATACAATATGAACACTTCACTGGTTCCCAATGTGTTGTGAACGGAGTGCCATGTGCCAATTCGGCGTCATTGAGGGCTATTGTTGCCATATGGACGTCGCGACCCGCTGGCTTTGACAACCCCAGTGCCACAGTGTATTATAGCAGGACAATTTCATTTTGTTGCATAAATTAAACTTAGGAATATACTGAGTATAAGCAAATATTACTAAAAATTTTGCATATACTCAGTTTACTTCTAAGTTTAATTTTATACCGCGTTTATTTATAAGGCAGTAAAACTTAAATAATTATACGAAAGTTTGACAGTTGCCACAATCAGTCTATACTAATATTATGAAGAGGAAAGATTGTTTTTATATGTATACAAATTGCTCAATAACTACTGGGCGGATTTCAAAAATTCTTTCATCATTAGAAAGCTACATTTTTAAAATTTACGTGGACGAAATCGCGAGCAACAGCTATCAAGAATAAAATTTTGTTTTTAATTTAGCATCGAACTGGATTTAGCACTTGTACGTTTTAATCAAATTTACCAAGTATTGACAACAAGCTTAGAATTTAATAATTTATTTTCAAGTAAATTAATAGTTTACGAAAAGAAATCATAACAGAATCTAAAACAGAAGATTTTTAATTTACTCAATTTGTTTGACTAAAGTTGTTCTACTGGTCGTATACACTGTGGCAACTAACATGGGGGTGATATGCGCCATTACAGGATAGCATTACAAGTGATTATCGATTTAATCAGAATAATCAGCGGATTGCAATGCGGACAGTAAACGATACGTTACGGTAGCTATGTTTGTTTTATTACCACACGATAACGTATACATATGTTTGAATTTCAAACATTTTGTTCTATACTAGCTGTTGCTCGCGACTTCGTCTGTGTAACATTAAAAAAACAAAAGTGAGTAGCCTATGCGTTTTTCCAGACTATCCTCTACATCTATACCAAATTTCATCGAACCCTTCAGACGTTAAGGCTACAAACTCTAACCATCCATCCATCTAAACTTTCGCATTTATAATATTAGTATGACTAATCTGCGTGACATTTTAAAAAATAATAAAAAGGATAGGGTGTCACTCGCTGATAACGTAGCTTGTTAACGGTGAAAGAATTTTAGAAATCGGACCAGTAGTTTTTGAGTTATTCCAATACAGATAAAAACTTTTTCCTCTTTATAATATTAGTATAGACTAATAGTGACTTAGCGCAATTAAAAAAAAAACAAAAGTAGTTATTAAAGTAAAGGTAAATATTTGATATTGCTTTGCGAAGTATTTCAAATATATGTGTAAAAACATCCCGTAGTGAGCTTACATAGTAAGCCAACCACATATTGAGTAGTTTCTGAGCCCTTCCGTAGACGACAAATTTACTACAGTTAGGAAATACAATTTTTATCGTGCTATAATACTTGAGATGAAAGTTTAAGAGCCTATAGGATATGGTTATATAATTTAACACCACTTTAAAATCGATTATATTCTAAAAGTATCGAGAAGTACTCGAGAACAATGGATTGGACCCGTAAGTCTAATTATCCACTCAATATTATTGCTACTTCAGTCTTGATAATGCTGTACTCTTCATCGGTATGCTATTTTCAGTTTAATTGGGTAATTGCATTTAATGATATCTGTATTTACTCGTTACCATAGGTAAGGTTTAATGTATGGAGGTATGTATAGTGAAAGGCGAGTAGCAAAAATATTAGTAAATGAATCTAGAGATGTTTAAAAAATCTTGCTTAACAGATCATTTAGTCTACACTTTGAGCGTGTGCACACCTTTGACAAAACTATCGCAAAACTGTTTAGTCTTGCTTTGATTCATATGAGCTTATATGGTGCGCACACTACTCGATTTTTAGTTGTGCAAAACAGTTGAATTGTCTGCGAAACAATCGATAATCGCACAACTGTTGTGCGATAGTTCAGTCAAATGTGTGCGCCCGCTCTAAGGTAACAGTTTAAAATCGTTAATTCAGTTGCAGTACAGACTTCAAGTTGCTCTAAAACGTAATACCCGCGAAAATTATACGTCTTTCAATCGGGCGCAGAGAAGCTTAATTACGGTTCCTTGGTAATATTTCTAGATAGCTATACTACTATAAAGAGGATAGATTTGTAATTTATATGTCTTGAAATAACTCAAAAACTACTGGGCTGATTTGAAAAATTCTTTCACCGTTAGAAAGGTAATTTATCTGTGAGTAACATAGGCTATAATTTTAAATTTCACGCAGACGATATCACGAGCAACAGCTAGTTTTAATATAGTAAATAAAAACCTTTTATGAGTAAATGTTGTTGAAGTGTTATTTCTTGATAGTCGAATGCGCTTTTAAAAGTGATTTATGAACTACATTGAGGTCCATTTAGGACATTTCGAAATCGTTAATTCAGTCACGAAGTCGACATTTTGTTGATTTGTTTTTTTATTTATTGTTTAAGTGCACTTTGATATCTGACAGATATGTTGCAGTGCCAATAACCTAGAATAAGATTGGTTCAACTCCCGGTTAGATTCTCTAGAATATTCCACAGCTAGGAGCAGAACTTGTTATATTTTTTAAAATTATAGGGTCCCTCTAATCACTAATGTATATTATCTCCGCTTGGACTATACCTGTTTATAATTTTTAGACGAAATAAATGAATATTGAAGACTAGCTGTTCCAGTGCGATTTTATCAGCATAAAATTATTTTATTCTTTACCTATGTCAAATTGTCAATTGCAAATGTCAGAATGACATGACAAAACTTAGGAATCTTGCTTTCTTGATGTTGGCAGCAACTTATGCTCTCTTTCCTACATTAGGCATTTTATCCAAAATATTTACCTAAATATATAGCCTAAAGCGTGACATAAGTAGGGCTTGTTATTAAATAAAAGTGTTATTCG